TTGTGTAACTATTGGTTATTATGAAATTTTCGATAGCAAATTATTCTACTTCTTCTAAGTTTTTAATTTAAACTAGATTCTGAAAAATTGATTGTTCATAGTTTCTTGTATGCAGTATTGTGATAGGTTTATATTAGGTATATAGAAATTCAATTCAAACTTTAATTAATTAATATTTATTTTATAGATATAGATTTCATAGATATAAATTAAAACTGATAAAATAACAAACAAATTAATATAAATATTAATATGATTAATATTAATAATAATCTGAAATGGCATGTTCAATACGAATTTTTGTAGTCTAGGCATAGGTTATGTGATCGGTAAGATGAAGGTGAGGAGGGGGGAAATATACATAGGTTATGCGCGGGTAGGCGATGGTGGCGGGGTGGCGCGCGGGGGTTCCAGAACTCTCTTTTTTTTATACTCCTTATGGTGGACAATCCATGTGCAATAAGTAAAAAAAAAACTTGTAGAAATTGCTTTAAATGTGTTATACTATATATGAGTTAAATATTTAAGTCTAGAAGGAATTTATTCAGGTACGATGGGGTAATATTTTGAAAGAAGTTTTCGAAGAACAATGACTGATGGAAGAATTGGTGGGGAGAGGTCTATCCTAAATGCATATTATACTTAACATATAATTGTTTTTTATTCAGTTTGATCCACCAAAAGTTACATTAACGAGGTTAGTTATGAATTAGTTATTCATTTCAAAAATAATTAATTTGATTACTATAAAACCAATTTGGTAATGTTTAATGTTAATTTATTATTTATTATTTTATTTTGTTTTATATATAGGATACCAACATTAATTTATCTATGGCATAGGCGTGTTTACTGTTTATGGCCACTCTGGCAATGGCCAGACCTACAGAATCCAGCCCCGTTTTAAATTTATGCTTAAATCATTAAAAATAATTACTAAAAAGTAAAAAGAATAATTAAAACAGAACTAAATGATAAATATTTTCACATAAAATATAATATATGTATCTGTGACAAAAACTAACCAATAATATTTATTATCTAATATCCATAGCTATAATTACCCGTGTAATTCTAGTTGTATGTTATGTTATAAATCTTTTATTTTTTTGAAGAGAGTGAGTATATTATGTACTAGTTATAGTTATTGTAATAGCTAAAATTACTACGTACGTTCTCGAGGTAGTGTATTGTGTATATGTCATTCTTTGTCTTCGTATCCTAAATGAAAATTTCAATTTTCCCAATGAAAAATGTTATTAACCTAACCTGTTTCTGTGATTCGTAACTCGAAATTTTGTGCGAATAAACTTATTGACTATAAAAATCGAACAAGATCATTGTTAACTATCCCTACAGAAGACTCTATCTAGCGCTGACAGTAAGGTTTTTATTTTTGAATTTACATTAATAATAGAATGATTTAATTTTAACTCTTATTGTACCTATTACGGATAAGTCCGAATTAAGGAGGGGGGGGGTACAGGGAGGATCATGGCCCCCGGGCCTCGATATTTGGAATTTATTTAGGGGCCTCAGATTTGTCTATTACTTTCTGCATTTTAGGCTATAAATTTATATAAATCACCGAAAAAAAAAATCGATGATAATGATTATTGCTGACGACAATACGACATATGTCGATTAAGTCGTATAAACCTCTTATAATAATTCATAATACAGTATACTACTATAGTGTATAATGTGTATAATACCTTAGTACCTACCCCTATATTGTTACACAACTTATTAGTAATCACTAATCGTTTACATTTGTCCATCAATTGAATGGACAAAGCTATTTTTGTACTCCAACACGTTACACCAAATTTGTTTTGTCTTCTGTTATCGATTTGTTTACATTTTGTTTGGGTTTTACATTTTTTCTTTGTGTTTTAAGAATTAATAAACATTTCGAAAGTGGATCCTCAAAAAGAAAAATAAAAGAAAGAGAACAAATTGAAATGAATAAGTACAAAGGACTCGTATTTGGGGGGGGGGCACGGGTAGGCACATTCCGGGGGCGTCAAGTCTCAAGGGCGGCAAAATATTTTAGCAAAATTAATTTAAACATAATGTACCTAATGAAAAAAAAAATAAATAAAACAATAAAAAAAAAGTTGTATTTTTATTATATTATAATTTATTAATTAAAAAAGTATTAAACGATTTTCATTTATAAGTTATATTTTAATATTAAAGAATCTCGATTATAAACGAAATAATAAGTGTTATATTATTATTATTTATTTTGGTGAGAGGGGCATAAATTATATGCCCGGGGGTGCCAAATTTTTAAATATGGCCTAACAGAGGATTAATGAGTAATTAAGTTTTAAATTCAAGTAAATATTTTTATTATTGTATATTTGTCTGAATGATCATAATTCATTATATAATTCAATCATATTATACAAGAATACAATAATATTACGAAAATAACAACTTAATTTGCAAGTCAAAAATAAAAAATAATTTTTAGCTTAAACACAGATTTTTAAATTATATTTTCATTTTGAGAATTATTATTGACCATGTCTTACACTAAATTCATTGTCTCATACTACATTTATTTCTATACATTGCAATTTTCAGTATTCATATATTAATTTTCTTTTGTCCATTTTTAAAAAAGTATTTTTCCAATTTAGTAATTTATAAATAAAGTGATACATTATTCAATATTTATTGTTATGTACTTATATATTATAAATAAATATCTATTATAATAAATATATTATACTTATTTTTTTTTCATTTAGGGGCCTCGTTTAAAACATTAGCTCCCGTTCTCCAAAATGTCTTAATCCGTGCTTGATTTCTGGTACTTTCGGATTTAAATTTCAAGGCAAACTGTCTATGGTCGATTGATCATTTGAGATGTTACATAAATTTATATTAATGATTGTATAAACAATAGTAGAAAACAGCTTGATTAGCATAGACGCAGTTTCAACTTTTGACTTGAGGGGGCTGAATATATTAAGGGCAAGCAGACCCGTGGGGAGCTTTGTCCTCTACACCTCCCACCAATCACCATTCATATCTTACTTTATAATATTACTTCATAATCTGATTAAATTTTTTTTATCTTTATTATTAAGGTCGAACTACCACAAATTTCAAGTAGGGGGTGTAACTTATAATAACATAATTTTAACAACATAGTAATACATTTATTAATTTATTTTATTAATAACCAATATATCAATCAAAATAAACAACAAATTATAATTGTAACCTTTTATTGGTCTTAGCATACTCAATTAGTATATCTTCAGCTTTAAGCTTTGATACTTCTCTTTCAATGTTTATTATTGCCAAACTGGAAAATCGCTCATCAAACTAATATAATACGTTTGATTCTACAATACCAGTGTATTTTTTATTTTATAATTAACATGGCCATCTCATAATATATAATATTCTTTAAATACAAAAAAAAAAAAAAACTATACATTTATAATATTATGACATTTTAAATTTGTAGATTTTTGGGGGCTTAGCCCCCCAATTTGCGTCTATGTTGATTAGCAATTTTAGAATCAAAAATATAAATTAATTTTTTTAAATAAAATAAAAATCATTGAAAAATATACATTTGAATAAGTTGAATTTAAATCAATAGAACATTAATTCATAATAAAATATATAGAATATTAACTTTTAAAAACAATAAAAAAAAAAAATAACAAAAAGATAAAATTTGTTGCAAATAAGGAATAACAGTTTTTGATAATTGATAATTAAATTTAATTAGTAATTCTGAGCAATTGATGTTACTATTTAAAAATTTAAAATTAAAACCAAGATCAAGTCTAATTTTCTTATAATCTATTCATTACATTTGAATGGCTTATTGTGATAATATTTGGAAAGGCAACTGTTAAAATAATTTTAGTTACTTATTTAATTTTTATATTTTTCATAATTATAAATCCCAATTCATGGAAAAAACTGTCAATATAGATAAGTAGCTACTTTACCTTAAGTAATTATGCTAGCAACACCAATGCATGATGATATTAGCCAAATAATATATTTTATAATATAATACAGTTCTAAAATAATAGCTTATTCATATTTATTATTTTGTCTTCAATAATTATCAAATGTTTGTTAAGATTACAAAAAAGTATATTTTATCCCAAGTTTGTTATGAGTAAAATAATAACAACTATTGGGTAAAGTTAGAATTAGTATTTAAATGAGTTATGTTCTATCATTGTAACTCGTTGCAGGTAAGATTTAAAATTTTTAAAAGATTTATATAAAAATCAGAAAACGTTTTTGAAAATTCACTAGGTATCTATTGTAATTCAAAATATTTGAAATCTTCAGAATATAATAGTAGAAAATATAATAAAAATAATGTTGTTTCTTATGATTTTTTTTGTATAGTAAAGAATGTAACTATAATATTGTAATTAATGAAAATAAATACAAATAAAGAAACTCATATAATGTTGTAATATTAACATAGAATATTGTGAACTATGTGAACATTTCAAACATATATTAATATACATTTTAAACGAATAACAATATCAAAAATACAAACGATTATAAAATTTTATGATGATTATTTATCCATGTATACTTTATTTTTACAAAATAGTCGAAAAAATTTGTGATATATTCAATCGATAAAATTAAATTTCTGTTTATATGAGATTATAAAAAAAAAATAAACTGTATCGTACAATTATTTTTATGTGGTTTAGAATTAATACATTAAAATTTTGATTTTTAAAAATCAGAAAAGTACATAATGAATATTCTATAATATAGATAATAACTGTAATACATCATCCAAAAATTGAGTAATGGAACGCAGTTAATAATGTATATAAGTCTCTAAAATTTAACCCTCAAGTAACTGAGTCTTGAAAAAGTAAAAAAATAATCAATACAATAAAATTAATAGAAATAATATTGTGTAGAAAGAGTGAAATTTTATACTATTAATATATTTTGGTTTAATTTAATACTCTAAATAACTATTTTCTTAGAAATTAAATTATTATATATTAAGTACATATAATTATAGTTATTGCAGTCCTTAAGTCAGTGGTCTGATGAAGTCTGATGAAGCTGTAAGCATAGCAACAGATATGGAAACATTGTAATTTACTTAAGTTGTTTTTACAGATTTCCCAATAATATAAATTGGCTATGGTTTCAACATGCTGTAGACATAATACAAAAATTACTTTGTTAAATTATTCATACCACACAGGCAATGCAAACAGAAGAAATAAGTATTTTCAGAATTATTCGTCCATTATTAACAAATGGCATAACAATGATTTCTCGAGAAGAACGTTTTATAATAGCCAAAAGTAATGTTTGAAGGTAATTTAATACTTTAATATGAGGTTATATTTTTTATAAATACCATGATAAGTATTAAGCTGATTCAACAAAGTATTTTGTATAAAAATAAAATATTTTATAAAAAGTATTTATTTAAGATTGAATATTTTTGATTTTATTATGTTTAAGTTTGGAAGTTTAGTTAAAATAATTTAAAATTAAAAATTAGTTTTATCTTAAACTTAACACTTTAAATAATTCAGCTAAAATATTATTTAAAATAATGTAAAAGTCTAGAAAGACAAATATTCAAATACATAACATGACTAATGAAAATTTTGGGGTGGGTGTGTATTCATTTTTTGTTTCACAACTTTATTTTTATTCAAGTTTGTTACTACTAATTATAACTTCTGGTAGTTATATATATTTTCAAATCGTGTCGATATTTTATTTGTAATATTTCGATTTTAGTACGGACATTTAAGAATTATTCATTGAGGTTTCAAGTGAAAATATACAATTCTTTGGTGCTGGCACAAAATACAAATCGTTCAGTTTTATAGTTTAATGTCATATTAATAATAATAGAGAATTGTCAAAAAAAACTTCATTTTTAATTAAATTTAATCAAATTAAATCTTGTTACATTGTTATTTACATTACTTATTATGTACACTAGTGAGTATTAACACTTTGAAATACTGGTAATTTTATGTTTGCTAACAGAAAATAGTTATGAGTAAAAGATTATAATGACATTAAAAGTAAATCAAATTTATAATAATACTAAATTACATATAATATTTTTCCAGTTGATTCAATCCAATTTAAAATTTAATAATTCAACAATGGATATCTAGAAGTAGTATAAAGCCAATTAACATACTATTACTATTTACACAAAAGTTTGATTTTAAAATATCATATTTGAAGTTTTCATTGAGAATATGTAGTGTCAATACATTCAATTTGCATTTTATTAATTGAAAAGTTGTTGTTCATATTAAACAATCATATTACATTTTTATCTAATTTAATTAATAAACAGTAAACAATTCCCTTCCCACTTTTTCAGACTTAGGACTGACAGCGGTAACACAATTGTACTACTGGTGTGGTTAGAAATGTTACATGTTTCATTGGTAAGTTATTATTACCATTATATATGTAAAAAATTTAATAAATTTTCAAACAGATTTTATATTTGTAGATTTGAAAAACAAATAAGTGTTAGTAATTTTTCTAGTTATTTCTGTTTCAATTTTCAACTATTTGGATTTAAGTTGTTCTTTGTTTCCAAGAAATACGGTATTTGCTTTGGAATGTTGTGATCAGTGCTCGACTTGGGAGGGACGCAGGGGGACGGAGTACCCCAACTAATTTTCAAAAATTTTAGCGTCCCCCTACTATTATTACACTATAATCATAACACTCAGCCAGTTTTGGGGACGTTCTTTTTTTTAAAGTAAATTGAGTCCCCTTCTTTAATTTTGCCAAGTTGAGTACTGGTTGTGATTATTGAGAAGTATTACTTAATTATTGTTAATCAGGAATCCTTGCTTCAACCATTAAAAAGCTCTTCTTGACCATTGTCTTCCAACCATAGAACTGAAATTGCATTAAAACAACTATTAAAAACTATAATTACAATAAATCGATCAAGAATAATATGCAATTCAACATATGTGAAAAATTTACCTAAATCATTTTGATGAAAAAACTGCGGTTAAAAGAAACTGTACCTCTTAAAAAATGTAATTATTCAAAATTCACAACAAAAGTAGAATATTATGTTGGAATTAAACATAAAAGTCATCGATAAGCATAAGCATATAATGCACACATCAAGGAATTCACGATGGCGTTCATCGAAAACCTCATCGTTGTTATCACATCAATCTTGTTATCAGATTTGATTGGAAATAATTAATTAATGTTCTTCCACGATCATATGTTTTCGAAATACGGAGGAAGAATCGACGTCAAAACTAAACTGAACTTTTGGATTTGTAGTGGAGCTATAAGATTTAATAATAATCGTATGATTCCTGTCATCGACTGTTGTTAGTGTTGACGTATTGTGTTTACTGTATTTAATCGTCACGCGGATACAGGTAACTGGGTAAAAATCTAGGGGAGGTAACATTATTTATTCTCCATAATTAAAACCCTGATCCTCCCCTCACAAGTTTAAATATAATTTCATTGTATATATTGTATACTGTATACATAAATATTGGTTTGTACACAAGTCTTAAAACTTATTTTATGGTTTAGAAACAAATTGCAGGTAGCTGATGGTTACACATATTATTAAAACTTAAAATAAATAGTATTTATTTATATAAATGATAGTAATTAATTATTATATTACTACATTTATAAGTAGTTTAAAAAGTTAACTAATATAAATATTATTTATACTTTTTTTTTATAATTGGTAAACAACAAAGAACAACCGACGATTATTTTAGTGACTATATAAAAATAAATTTAAAAATATTATATTATTATATAAAAATTATTTATACTTTTTTTTTATAATTAGTAAACAACAAAAAATAATCGATGATTATTTTAGTGATTATATAAAAAAGAAATTTTAAAAGATTATATTATTAAATACATTTAGTTTTCTATTATCAAAATCAATTAGCACTGATAGTCAAATTTGTAGTGATGTCAAGTCATGATCAAGATTTCGATACAATAATATTCAATCATGTTTATGAAATAGTAATTTCGAATTATTTTTGTAACCCAAATAATTTTATTATTGAAATAACATACTTAAAATAAACGTATACCTTTAGGAAATAATTCGAGGAAAATAATATAATATTATAAAATGTTAAATATGAATATATGTTGTATTTTTTTCTAAATGAAGATTCAAAGATTTATTCTGTTATATTATCTAGGGTATCATTTTGCTATTAGATTATATGGGAAGCAAAATGATACCTTTGCTTCTTTACAAAAATTTCAGGGAAGCAAGTGCTTTCCCCCACGCAATGATGTCTCTGCGAAGACACTTGTAAATGAAAACTCAGTGTATATTCTTTATACCTATGTCCACATCCATGTAGTTATACAAAAAAAAAAAAAAATGTACACACTTTGCAGTTTTGCACATAAATTTGGTCAGAATGTAAAATTCAACAACATATTTTCAATGATGTTTCTGTGCTGCGGTTTGTAACAATAAATATTTTCCGTTAAAAATATTTTTGCGTATAAGTTAAAATACATATGATCAGGAGTGATACCTACTTGTAATCAGTGGTTTTATTCTCATAGGATACAACCACGTATACCGCCGTGTACTTTCAACATAATTTTGAAAATTCACGGGTGTATACTATTTTCAATACTCTCAAATCTTAAGCACATTGCGAAGAATTATTAAATGTAATCATTTTTACAAGTTTTAATATTGAACTTATTTTATACTAAACATTCAGATTGTCCTTAGATAGTTAATGTATTACCAAAAAGTAATTATTGATAGTATAAATTTATTTAAATAACTTTAATTTCTATTTTTGTAAAAATTAAAAATGTCTATATTCAGATACTCGTCGGCATAGTTCCTATATTCTCAATACAATCGATGTGAATATCACTTCATATAATGATAGGTGTACTTCAATGCATTTTGTACGAGAATAAGCTTAAAGCTAAAAATGTATGAAAGGATCGTGACCGAGGAATTTCCTTGTTGTTCCTAGGTTGTAAATGCTTAACTCGTTCATTGAATTAATTACATTTTTAATTCATTAAAGATTAAACAATAATAATTATTTATTAATAGTTGGTAATAACTAATAAGTAATGATGTAATATTAGAGACTTTATTTACAACATATATTTATCAACAATAAATTATTTTAAGTGAATAACGTGTGCCTATATTAAACAATTTATTCAAAATAAAATAAATGATAGTTGAATAATTTATTGCGAAACGGTTTTTAAGTAGTGTGTTGGATACGAGTATACTACGTTATTTATACTCTGTTGTACATCATATTTATAGATTGAGTCTACGAATACATGACAAAAAAAAAAAACGAGTTGACTTGCATTATAATATTTCTTGTCACTCTTTATAATAAGTTAAGGAGGCCAAGAACTATGAACCTATAGATATGGTTTTCATTAATTAATATATTTTATGCAAACAATCAAAAACATTTTTTTGTTTTATTTTATGATGATTATCATATCGTTTATTTCCTTCATAGTTGAGAAAATGAGAAAATAAGTATAATAATATTACAACAATACGTGAGATTATTTTTTTCTCCTGATCATTGTTAATATTATACAACATGTACACCACTAATGATAATGAAAGTATTACAGTAATAGAAAACAATTTACATTAAAAGATATTTAAGTATAAATTTGAATTTGATATGAATTTAAATAAGTGGGGTATGTTAAAAATGTAATTTTTTTTATTTATTTTTAATGTTGTTTCCTCCAAATAGTATTTAGGTTTATAAAAAAAAAAAAAAAAAATTGGTTCATATAATTAGTTTAAAATAAAATTTTTTATAATAGTATAACTGTATAGTATTGTTTTAATGAAAACTACAATAAAATTTAAAATTTTCTAGAGGAATGTGCAATTTCGAAGGAAAAAAAACTAATAGAAAAAAAACATAAAAATTAAAAAGAAGAACTATAGAGATAGAGTCCTTCTGTACGTATTTCCAATCTTTAATAAAATCTAAAAAAGCCACATTTAAAGATTAAAAAGAAAAAAAGTTGTTGATCAACATTCTTGAAAATAATTAATTTATCTACACGGTATACTTCGAATTTTGAAACGTTAAAAAAAAAATCCAGCCAAATTAACCCAACATTTAGTACCTACTTTACTATATATATAGTACGTTTTAACATTCGGAAGTAAACGATGCACTTTGGATTCAAATGACACAAATTAGAAGAATCCGTATTTAAAGGAAATCATTTTAATAGTTGATAAATTAGCTTAAGGCTTGATAGTTTTAATTTTTAATCCATCATTTAATTTTTGAAAACGAAAGCTTCGGATAAAAGCATACACGGGAATTGGTGCAATGAAGTACTGTTTTCAATTTTTTGTGTGGTTTATTATACCTGTTTTTGGATTTCAACACAAAAAAAAAAACTATAATTAATTTTTTAACCCGAGTAAAATAAAAAATATACTTGACTGATGACATGGATCATAATAATAGTATAATTATTAGATTTATACTTTCATCGTGGTTTAATCATCTAACAACAATAGTGTACATTTCATCGATTTGGTTTTGGTAAGTATAAAATTCAATTTTTAATTTTTAGTTTTTCTCTACCAATGTTGTTTACTTGCTCATTATGTTGTAGTGATAAAATAATTGTTAAAATACACATAAAATCGTACATTTTCTGCAGTTCTAAGACTAATAATCTGGAGCCGGTAATGCTCGACAGCAATCATGTACTTGACTTACCCGTATCCCACCCGAAATTAGTTTTTTTTAAGTTTTTAAGTTCACCTTATGTCAACAATCAATCTTTGTAACCGAATTAATTAATTGTTTTTCGTCTGCAGTTATTCTTTTCCAATTTTTTTTTTTTTTTAAAGTCCTTCTACGCCGGACGTTTAAAGCCATACTAATTTTTTTATTCAAATTGGTTGTATTGGTTTGGATTCAGCTTTATAAATAGTTGTTAAACTTTGATTTTCCATGGTTGTTCATACTCGTTATAGTATTAGGTATAACGATCACTTAACGACACGTTAGCCCACTGTTAAATCCTTTCCATTTCTAAAATCTGAATCAAAACGAAATGATAGCGTAATTAAAGGATACACAAGATTGTGCATATAAGTGTTACGTTCAAATGTTTAATGCCGTTGTATCTATTCTTCACGTAGTTTTTACTAACCAGTCGATGGACGTTTTCGATTTGAATACCATTCTCCAATAATTGATTGAAACATTTTGATTCACTTAAGGGCTTTGTGTTGGTTATTGATCAAAATAGTTTATTTTGGAAAACTGACATCGTTTTTTATTTCATTTCATACGAAAACAAACTATAGAATGTCGGTAAAAATGGTGCCGTTAAATTCTAGTAGGATTTATTTAAAGTAAATTTATATATAGCTCACTCAGTAGATCCGATACGCAACTGACGATTTTGAAAGCGTCAATTCACAATTTAAATGTGATAATAATAAAATGGATTTCGGAAACTCTTCAATGTATTAAATTTTAAATTTTAGTTATAGATTTCTTTTGCTTTATGTCTTTATGTTGTATTGAAAAATTGTGTTTATACAACTCGATATTATCAATTGAAAAGTCAATACTTTACTATAGTTTTATATTTTATTATCCAAAACTATTGTTTGTCGTCACGTGCCTTAACGGTAAAACCGTCATGAATGTGTCGAATTATGAAGAAAAATGTTTGACATTTTTGTCGTGTCTACACGTGAATGTCAAACGTTTTTATTGTTTTAATTTTAGTTTAATTTTTTTAACACATATAGCTTAGAATTAGAGTATAATAAAAGAATATGTTTGGTTTCATATTTTTTTGCATTTATTAATTTTATTTCGTTAAAAAAAAAAATTAAAATAAAACAAAATGTTATGGTAAAAATTTATAAAAATACGAACTGATGTACTCGTACGTGCATTGTAAGCAGTAATATAAGTAGTAGTATCTACAAACAACGAGTATTTTTGGTTTATTTTATTTTTCGGCTTATCAATCGTCCTGTATTTACACAACGTTGTAATATTATAATTAAATCCTTTTGATGTGCACGGCGACACTTCCGTAGCGCAAAGTGTAT